GATAGATAGATAGATAGATAGATAGATAGATAGATAGATAGATAGATAGATAGATAGATAGATAGACAGACCAGGTGGAGCAGAACAGGGCCTTCAGAGGAAATCCGACAGCTCGGAGGTGTTGCAGTATGAAGTCAGATGTAGTTGAGTTTCTCCCCGAGGCTCCACTGTGATGATTAAAGTTTGTTCCCATGAAATGTCCTCAACACACCCTCAGAGTCAGGATTTAGTGTGTGAGACCCAAACACTCGGCTGGCAGCTCTTATTTGGTCCCTTTGCGACCTTGGCATCTCGGCCGCAGCCGCCCGGGGCCACTTGAGCCATTTGGCTGTAAAATCACACATTTTCGGGAGGTCAAGGGTTTATTACAGAATGTGAGGATGGAAAAAAAACTGCAGGCTATCTTCTGGACCATGAACAGGTTATTCATGTAAAGAGTCTTCACAGTTGGAGGTAGTTGTCGTGATCTGTGGCGGATGGAACTGAACGATCCTTTTGTTTTAATAACTGTAATATAAAATACTACCACCGACTCAGAAACCAAAGTGATGGGGCCTGTCGAGAGTGCGCATTAAAAAACAAAGGAACTGTGCAGCGAGCGAAGTGAGAGTAAAGTAAAGTCAAATAGTTGTTCTAAAAGCAATACATCAAAAGTGACACTGTGTAGTGTGCACAGGAGCCAGTGGAGGAAAGTACCAGACATTTTTAGTTTAAGAGGGAATAAGTGTCATTTAAAGTCAGGAGGCAAAGATACAAACATTTAGCTTCAACCACCACTTTTCATTCATCGGTTAACAGCTTCATAATTCGCTTTTTATTTGCCTCTCATAAATATAACTTCTAGAAATAGAAGACGGTGATGATGTTACTTTAACGACTTCTGGAGCAGATGCATCAGATCTGTTTCTTGGCAAACTGCTGGTGAACACATTCTGAAATATACAGGGGACCGAAGTGGCAGAGCTTGACTGATATGGATTTATGGGGGAAGACGCCGGTACTGATATTAGGAAGTAAAAACTTTCTGATAACGACACAATAATACTAATCATTTCACAAAAGACGTCATTATCAAACTTAATATAGTTGATGAAAACATATTGACTCTCCGTGTCTTCTTGCAGACATGAGTGATGTAGTTTACAGAACAGTGTGAGGGAGGAATTCGTCCTCCATCATTCCACAGATCCTCTCAGAGCCGGCACATGACACATGAAGCCACCTGCAGCTGTCTCTGGAGACGTCCTGCCCGACACATGTCGTAACAATGAGGCGCACCCATGTAAGTGATCCTCATCACGTCATCCCCCTAACACAAGCAGAAGTTATACTCCTGGTACGCTAGCTGTGGAACGTGAAGGCTGGTTGGGTATTTGTGTTGCTGGGTAAGATTAAGCTGAAGCTGAAGAGAGGGTCAGACGAATGGATTCACCTTCTGAAATGAAGAAATCGAAAATGTAGAGTCTAAAAAGTTTGTAGCACAGCAACAAAAAGGTTTTGGGCAGGGAAGGACCCTTATGAAGGTTAGTTAACTACCTTCAGGCAATTGTTCTTCCTCTACCAAGCTTCAATTAATATTTTATATTATATTATGTATTGCATTTTGTAAGTAAGTGAAGTTTATTCAATAAAGCTCCTTTCTTGGACCAAAGTCACAGAGGGCTGCAGTTGATGCAAAAACCCAGCTGAGGAGAAAGTGATATGGAGGTGAGGGAGGAGGAGACACTATAAAGTTAGCAGCTGTGAGGCTTCACTTGGTGACATGTTTGACAGATGATCTGGAGACTCGGAGGCTGGAGAGCAGAGAGAAAACTGCAGAGATGTGTCCTTGACTCACAGGATTCAAATGTTTGTCACAGGGCCAGATCGAAAATACACAAAAAAAAGGTCACGAACAAAAGACAATAAAAACTGTAGTATTTGATTGTCGTGCAGAACTCTGATGAGAGCACGTGTCATTTCTATTTATACGACATTGATTGATAGCTGAGAATTGTGATTACTGATTTTACAAGGCCTCTCTGCTTGATAGACATTTAAAGATATATACTCGCTGCTACTCCTGAAACGCACGCAAATGACTGAAGTGTCAGAGCTTGAGTTGCATTGTGGGCAGCCAATATTTTGGGGCATCCAGTGTTGACAATTAAATCTGGGCCAAGATCACGTCTTTGTTCGTCGACTAGTTTCTTTTATAATCGAATGTTTCTCAACACAAACGGCAACTTTTTTGGCTAATCTCTATTAACACCTGCATGTGGAGGCAGATACATAAAAAAAGCCCACAGTCAGTGTATCTTGGTCAATGTGTTCCAACACTTTCATTCTCCACACGGACTGATTCCCTGTGGGCAACCAACGCCGGCTCAAATGTGATCGGTAGAAGAAGAAATCTGAAAACTTCAGGCCCCAAAACATATTCACATGAAGAATCTGTTAAATAGAGATTACAGTGTGGGTGAAGGAAGGAATACATATTTCTGCTGCTGCAACTTCCTCTTTATTAAACTGTCCATCATGTGTCATAGCAGTGCCATGTTAAATGAATGGAGTTCTCTCAGCTAGAACCAGCATGAACATCGGCCCAGTAACACCTGACAACAGGTTGCGTAGATGACTTTGGTTAAACATAGTAATAAAGTCTTGCACAGACCAACCGTCATTTTTTAAATCCAAGTTCTGACTTGTTATGACAAACACCCTGGAGTCTGTCTCCTGCATTTACAAATGGATTTCTATTTTTCAACACTGAGGAATTATTAATACGTTTATAATCACATCGTAGCTAATCCATCAACAAGCAGCCGTCATCAAAACCCATAACAGAGTGTTCGCTGTCTGAGAGTGGGCAGATCTACAGCTGCAAACCAGACGCAGGCGTCCATT